CGCTGCCGGGAGGCGCCGGCCGAGCCCCTGGGAAGCGCCGGGTGAGCCCCCGGGAAGTACTGGGACCCGGAGCAGGGAAACCACTGGGGACAGCCGGCTCTTGCCCGCGGCCCTGATGTACGCACCCGGACATGTCTGAGCCGCTGTTTAACCCGTGACGTGTGCTAAAGTTCTTCCCCTCCCGCCTCCCTTCACTCCGTTCCCAAACATTAGGGTGGGAAATGGAGTTTACAGTCAGGAAAATGTATTTTCAAAATCCTCCCCGGTACAGCTGAAGGTGAAGAGCTTCTTTGCGCGGAGGGCGGCAAAGCCCTGGAACAGGCTGTCCATGGAGGCCGTGGAGTCCTCCCATCTGGAGACATTCCAAACCCACTGTGTTCCCATGCCACTTGCTCCAGGTGACCCTGCCTTGGCAGGGGGGTTGGATTAGATGATCTCCCGAGGTCTCTTCCTCCCCGAACAGTTTTGTGACTCTGTGATGTGTGGCTGCTGCTAGTGCAGGTCTGGCATTGTCTGGAGCAGAGATGAGGGGACACCATCACCCAGTGCAGGCCTTGGTGATTCTTTGGCCCTTTGTCTGTCAAATAATCTAGTCTCCAACTGTAGAGAGCTAGTCCCAAACGCTAATGCTGTTCTTAACTACATACAGAATCATTTAAGTTGGAAAAGACATCTAAAATACTTTCAACTTGGCTCCCTATTGCTTCTTTCTTGTTAAGGCAAACAATACAGAAAATTGAAACTCATCAGCAAGGACTCATGCATTTCAAAGAGATTTTGTATTTTACATTTTGAAATACTGCAAATACGCTTAAAGAAAAGCACACACAAATCATTTGCTTGGAGAAAATTGCAAGCTGAAAAATAACAACTTGGGTCGATGAAGAGAGTCTTTTCTAACCAACAACCTCATTACAAAATGCCTTAAATATTACCAAGTTCCAGCTTTTAAAGACATAGTTTTCGCCCTGTTCTCATTGACATGAGTTTTCAGGACATTCAACAGTTAGAAGACTTGCAACTTCCAGTCTAAAAATTCACACAGGCTCTACTGTATATCCATGATCCTTTGGCTCCTCTCCTTTCCCCATCTTTACTCTCCTGATGTGTTTCATAGGCAGAAATCACACTCCTTCTCAGCTTATATTTTGCTGTATGAGAGAAGCCAGTCTCTTCTAGTGGAAGAGAACTTTAAAGATGTTTTTATTTAAAAAGAAATTTGATAGCTGTAGAATTCACAGATCATCCTTCCTCCTCTCAGCAGGATGGCACAGACATGTTAAAAAAAGCACAGCAGTAATGAAGTAAAGGTGACACACTTCCACCCTCCTGATGTTCTTTCCTCCAGCTTTTTTCCCCCCACATAAGTGCAGCTCAGGGAATCCATGCAGAGATTTGGCACTGTCAGCACCCAAACAAGTTACAAGATAAATCATGCAACCTAATTTTAGTCTTGGCTGGCAAAGTCAACATCACTGCTATCCTAATGCCTATAATTTGGCTCAGATAAAAGTGCTTTGAAGGCAGAATTATTTAATTATATCAAAGGCTGTTGGCCGACTAAGGCTCAACAGGCTTCCAGCTGGCAAAGGCATAAGGGATGCTCTGCATTACAAGGGGCAGGTTGCCTCAGGATGAAGCCACATAAACTATTGAATGTGATCTAGGTCTTCTCATGTCCAGAGGATGGCAAACATGGCTGTACCCACAATTGCTCAAGCACTTTGGCAACTCAGCTCTGCCTAGCCACTGAGAACTATCACACAGCACTAAAAATTAAGGAGATACTAGATTCTGGTTTTTTTCCATTAATTGCAGCATCTGTCCCAGAAAGTATTGCTGGGCGTAGAGGATCTGCAAACTGAGGGCACAGTGTCATAATTGCCAAGAGTGAATCCTCTGTCAGCAAGACATCATATAACTTTTTGATACTTTATTTAAATTTTTATAAAGACTTTGTTAAAATCAATCTGAGTAATTATGCAATAATTAATTTTACATATTTGTGGCAGTACCAGAACAGCTCCAGTTGTATCTTCAGTGTGTGTTTGTTCACGTTGACTGCAGTGAAGAATGAGATGACAAATATTGTCAGCAGTTTGCGTTACCTGAAACAAACTTTTATTCCTTCATACGGTTTTACACAAGCACTGTTGTTACACATGTTCTTACTACTGTCAGGGGAACCAAGAGAACCCTGGTGCAAATAAAAGTACATCTGGTCCAAGCTCCCTGCCCAGGGAGGGTCAGCCCTGAGTACACTGCACAGGATCGCATCCAGACGATTCTTCAGTATCTCCAATGAGGGAGACTCCACAATCTCTCTGGGCAATCTGTTCCAATGCTTGGTAACCTGCACAGTAAAGAAATTCATCCTCACGTTCAGGTGGAATTTCCCGTGCATCAGTCTCTGCCCGTTGCCTCTCGTCACATTGCTCGGCACCGCCGAGCAGAACCTGGCTCCATCATTTTGGCACCCTCCCTTCAGTACTTATAGACACTGATGAGATCCCCTCTCAGACGTCTCTTCTCGAGGCTAAGCGGGCTCATCTCCCTCAGCCTGTTTCTCACTACTCCGCGCTGGGCCCCCACGCAAGAGGCGCTTCCCGCCTCGGCCATCCCCGACCCGCTCCTCCCTCCCCCGCCCGCCCGCGGGGCACCAGCGGGCGAGACCATGAAGGCGCGTATGGGGGGGGAAGACGACCAAAGAGGCGCCACTCACGGCCCCGAGGCGCAGTCGCGGCCCAGCCGGGAGGCGCTCGCTACTGGCTCCTCAGAGGCACCGTGAGATCCCGCAGAGGGA